CTTACAGTGTGTGGGGGGGGTCAGGGTGAGGCTCTTACAGTGTGTGGGGGGGGGTCAGTGTGAGGCTATACACCTGAACATCAGCAGGAGAGGACTCTTTAAAGTAGAGACACTACATACTGATATACACCTGAACATCATCAGGAAAGGACTCTTTAAAGTAGAGACACTACATACTGATATACACCTGAACATCAGCAGGAGAGGACTCTTTAAAGTAGATACACTACATACTGATATACACCTGAACATCAGCAGGAGAGGACTCTTTAAAGTAGAGACACTACATACTGATATACACCTGAACATCAGCAGGAGAGGACTCTTTAAAGTACAGACACTATATACTGATATACACCTGAACATCAGCAGGAGAGGACTCTTTAAAGTAGAGACACTACATACTGATATACACCTGAACATCATCAGGAGAGGACTCTTTAAAGTAGAGACACTACATACTGATATACACCTGAACATCAGCAGGAGAGGACTCTTTAAAGTAGAGACACTACATACTGATATACACCTGAACATCAGCAGGAGAGGACTCTTTAAAGTAGAGACACTACATACTGATATACACCTGAACATCAGCAGGAGAGGACTCTTTCAAGTAGAGACACTACATACTGATATTCACCTGAACATCAGCAGGAGAGGACTCTTTAAAGTAGAGACACTACATACTGATATACACCTGAACATCAGCAGGAGAGGACTCTTTAAAGTAGAGACACTACATACTGATATACACCTGAACATCAGCAGGAGAGGACTCTTTAAAGTAGATACACTAAATACTGATATACACCTGAATATCAGCAGGAGAGGACTCTTTAAAGTAGAGACACTACATACTGATATACACCTGAACATCAACAGGAGAGGACTCTTTCAAGTAGAGACACTACATACTGATATTCACCTGAACATCAGCAGGAGAGGACTCTTTAAAGTAGAGACACTACATACTGATATACACCTGAACATCAGCAGGAGAGGACTCTTTAAAGTATAGACACTACATACTGATATACACCTGAACATCAGCAGGAGAAGACTCTTTAAAGTACAGACACTACATACTGATATACACCTGAACATCAGCAGGAGAGGACTCTTTAAAGTAGAGACACTACATACTGATATACACCTGAACATCAGCAGGAGAGGACTCTTTAAAGTAGAGACACTACATACTGATATACACCTGAACATCAGCAGGAGAGGACTCTTTAAAGTAGAGACACTACATACTGATATACACCTGAACATCAGCAGGAGAGGACTCTTTAAAGTAGAGACACTACACACTGATATACACCTGAACATCAGCAGGAGAGGACTCTTTAAAGTAGAGACACTACATACTGATATACACCTGAACATCAGCAGGAGAGGACTCTTTAAAGTAGAGACACTACATACTGATATACACCTGAACATCAGCAGGAGAGGACTCTTTAAAGTAGAGACACTACATAATGATATACACCTGAACATCAGCAGGAGAGGACTCTTTAAAGTAGAGACACTACATACTGATATACACCTGAACATCAGCAGGAGAGGACTCTTTAAAGTAGAGACACTACACACTGATATACACCTGAACATCAGCAGGAGAGGACTCTTTAAAGTAGAGACACTACATACTGATATACACCTGAACATCAGCAGGGGAGGACTCTTTAAAGTAGAGACACTACATACTGATATACACTTGAACATCAGCAGGAGAGGACTCTTTAAAGTAGAGACACTACATACTGATATACACCTGAACATCAGCAGGAGAGGACTCTTTAAAGTAGAGACACTACATACTGATATACACCTGAACATCAGCAGGAGAGGACTCTTTAAAGTAGAGACACTACACACTGATATACACCTGAACATCAGCAGGAGAGGACTCTTTAAAGTAGAGACACTACATACTGATATACACCTGAACATCAGCAGGAGAGGACTCTTTAAAGTAGAGACACTACATACTGATATACACCTGAACATCAGCAGGAGAGGACTCTTTAAAGTAGAGACACTACATACTGATATACACCTGAACATCAGCAGGAGAGGACTCTTTCAAGTAGAGACACTACATACTGATATACACCTGAACATCAGCAGGAGAGGACTCTTTAAAGTAGAGACACTACATACTGATATACACCTGAACATCAGCAGGAGAGGACTCTTTAAAGTAGAGACACTACATACTGATATACACCTGAACATCAGCAGGAGAGGACTCTTTAAAGTAGATACACTAAATACTGATATACACCTGAACATCAGCAGGAGAGGACTCTTTAAAGTAGAGACACTACATACTGATATACACCTGAACATCAACAGGAGAGGACTCTTTCAAGTAGAGACACTACATACTGATATTCACCTGAACATCAGCAGGAGAGGACTCTTTAAAGTAGAGACACTACATACTGATATACACCTGAACATCAGCAGGAGAGGACTCTTTAAAGTAGAGACACTACATACTGATATACACCTGAACATCAGCAGGAGAAGACTCTTTAAAGTACAGACACTACATACTGATATACACCTGAACATCAGCAGGAGAGGACTCTTTAAAGTAGAGACACTACATACTGATATACACCTGAACATCAGCAGGAGAGGACTCTTTAAAGTAGAGACACTACATACTGATATACACCTGAACATCAGCAGGAGAGGACTCTTTAAAGTAGAGACACTACATACTGATATACACCTGAACATCAGCAGGAGAGGACTCTTTAAAGTAGAGACACTACACACTGATATACACCTGAACATCAGCAGGAGAGGACTCTTTAAAGTAGAGACACTACATACTGATATACACCTGAACATCAGCAGGAGAGGACTCTTTAAAGTAGAGACACTACATACTGATATACACCTGAACATCAGCAGGAGAGGACTCTTTAAAGTAGAGACACTACATACTGATATACACCTGAACATCAGCAGGAGAGGACTCTTTAAAGTAGAGACACTACACACTGATATACACCTGAACATCAGCAGGAGAGGACTCTTTAAAGTAGAGACACTGCATACTGATATACACCTGAACATCAGCAGGAGAGGACTCTTTAAAGTAGAGACACTACATACTGATATACACCTGAACATCAGCAGGAGAGGACTCTTTAAAGTAGAGACACTACATACTGATATACACCTGAACATCAGCAGGGGAGGACTCTTTAAAGTAGAGACACTACATACTGATATACACTTGAACATCAGCAGGAGAGGACTCTTTAAAGTAGAGACACTACATACTGATATACACTTGAACATCAGCAGGAGAGGACTCTTTAAAGTAGAGACACTACATACTGATATACACCTGAACATCAGCAGGAGAGGACTCTTTAAAGTAGAGACACTACATACTGATATACACCTGAACATCAGCAGGAGAGGACTCTTTAAAGTAGAGACACTACATACTGATATACACCTGAACATCAGCAGGAGAGGACTCTTTAAAGTAGAGACACTACATACTGATATACACCTGAACATCAGCAGGAGAGAACTCTTTAAAGTAGAGACACTACATACTGGTATACACCTGAACATCAGCAGGAGAGGACTCTTTAAAGTAGAGACACTACATACTGGTATACACCTGAACATCAGCAGGAGAGGACTCTTTAAAGTAGAGACACTACATACTGATATACACCTGAACATCAGCAGGAGAGGACTCTTTAAAGTAGAGACACTACATACTGATATACACCTGAACATCAGCAGGAGAGGACTCTTTAAAGTAGAGACACTACATACTGATATACACCTGAACATCAGCAGGAGAGGACTCTTTAAAGTAGAGACACTACATACTGATATACACCTGAACATCAGCAGGAGAGGACTCTTTAAAGTAGAGACACTACATACTGATATACACCTGAACATCAGCAGGAGAGGACTCTTTAAAGTAGGGCATCTTTCATTTAAAGTTTAGATTTTTGCATAGTTTCCTCTGATTATATGTATAGTTAATATATGTATATGTATGTATAGTTTAAACTTCTTCTTCTTCTGCTGCTGCTGATTAACGGGCCTGCAGCTGCTGCCCTCCTTCACCCCCCCCTTAGATATAAATAGATGGGGCTCTTATTCTGAAACTGATCCGTCTCTCACTCAGCACTTTTCCTCCAGCTGCTGCTAAATCTGTCTCCTGAATCATAAAAACCTCAAGTCCTTTAACTTCTCTGCATGATGGAAGGTAACAGAGCAATGTGACCTCAGAGAAGATAAACCAGGATGTTTAGAAATGATTGTATTGATGGGGAACCTTCATGAAGCAGATTCAGGTGTCTAGATTCACACTAAAGTATTATATCAGCTGACAGAGATAACATCTGATCCTTTACAACAATGACTAGAAGATCTTTTGACTCACATTTCATCCTGATGGTCATCCCCAATATTTAGAAATGTAAAAGTAATCAGATTTCTTTATGTAACTGTAAGAGAATACTGTAACTTGTATTTAAGTATCTTGATAATCCGTTACTGAAACTAGTTTGGAGGATTTGAACTGTTCCTGATCTGCTCCGCTAAGCTCATAACAAATGATTGTATTTTTACAGAAAATAAGAAAATAAAAAGTACAGCTGACAAAACATAGGTTCTCAAATCAGTGAATGCATGAATTCAATGTGATCAATGGTAATCTAGAGAGAGAGACTTATTGGATCAGTCTCTCTGCCTCCATGTTCTCATGAAGGCAACCAACAGGAGAACATCTCACAGTGTTGGTATTCTGCCTCTCGGGTCTTTGCTCTCAGTGTTTACCACTTTATCCTCATTGTATCTGTAGGTTGAAGCACTGAGCTGTTTCTGTTTGCAACCACACAGGAAACTGAAACCTTAGTGAACCATTGACGTTAAAAGTGTGTAATCTGTTGATTTATTACTAAACTTAATCTGTTTTTTATTGTGTTTTCCTGCAGGGTGCCAACAAACATGTCAACACAGGCGCCGACGTTCCTGCAGCCGCTGCAGAGCGTCGTGGCACTAGAGGGTAGTGCCGCGACGTTCCAGGCTCAAGTCAACGGTGAGAGACACTAAACCACCAGTTCATCTCTAAACACAACCAGTTCATCTCTAAACACAACCAGTTCATCTCTAAACACAACCAGTTCATCTCTAAACACAACCAGTTCAACTCTAAACACAACCAGTTCATCTCTAAACACAACCAGTTCATCTCTAAACACAACCAGTTCATCTCTAAACACAACCAGTTCAACTCTAAAGACAACCAGTTCATCTCTAAACACAACCAGTTCAACTCTAAACACAACCAGTTCATCTCTAAACACAACCAGTTCATCTCTAAACACAACCAGTTCATCTCTAAACACAACCAGTTCATCTCTAAACACAACCAGTTCATCTCTAAACACAACCAGTTCATCTCTAAACACAACCAGTTCATCTCTAAACACAACCAGTTCATCTCTAAACACAACCAGTTCATCTCTAAACACAACCAGTTCATCTCTAAACACAACCAGTTCATCTCTAAACACAACCAGTTCATCTCTAAACACAACCAGTTCATCTCTAAACACAACCAGTTCATCTCTAAAGACAACCAGTTCAACTCTAAACACAACCAGTTCATCTCTAAACACAACCAGTTCAACTCTAAACACAACCAGTTCATCTCTAAACACAACCAGTTCAACTCTAAACACAACCAGTTCATCTCTAAACACAACCAGTTCATCTCTAAACACAACCAGTTCAACTCTAAACACAACCAGTTCATCTCTAAACACAACCAGTTAATCTCTAAAGACAACCAGTTCAACTCTAAACACAACCAGTTCATCTCTAAACACAACCAGTTCATCTCTAAACACAACCAGTTCATCTCTAAACACAACCAGTTCATCTCTAAACACAACCAGTTCAACTCTAAACACAACCAGTTCATCTCTAAACACAACCAGTTCATCTCTAAACACAACCAGTTCATCTCTAAACACAACCAGTTCATCTCTAAACACAACCAGTTCATCTCTAAACACAACCAGTTCAACTCTAAACACAACCAGTTCAACTCTAAACACAACCAGTTCAACTCTAAACACAACCAGTTCATCTCTAAACACAACCAGTTCATCTCTAAACACAACCAGTTCATCTCTAAACACAACCAGTCATCTCTAACAAACCAGTTCATCTCTAAACACAACCAGTTCATCTCTAAACACAACCAGTTCATCTCTAAACACAACCAGTTCAACTCTAAACACAACCAGTTCATCTCTAAACACAACCAGTTCATCTCTAAACACAACCAGTTCACTCTAAACACAACCAGTTCATCTCTAAACACAACCAGTTCATCTCTAAACACAACCAGTTCATCTCTAAACACAACCAGTTCATCTCTAAACACAACCAGTTCATCTCTAAACACAACCAGTTCATCTCTAAACACAACCAGTTCATCTCTAAACACAACCAGTTCATCTCTAAACACAACCAGTTCATCTCTAAACACAACCAGTTCAATCTCTAAACACAACCAGTTCATCTCTAAACACAACCAGTTCATCTCTAAACACAACCAGTTCATCTCTAAACACAACCAGTTCATCTCTAAACACAACCAGTTCATCTCTAAACACAACCAGTTCAATCTCTAAACACAACCAGTTCATCTCTAAACACAACCAGTTCATCTCTAAACACAACCAGTTCATCTCTAAACACAACCAGTTCATCTCTAAACACAACCAGTTCATCTCTAAACACAACCAGTTCATCTCTAAACACAACCAGTTCATCTCTAAACACAACCAGTTCATCTCTAAACACAACCAGTTCATCTCTAAACACAACCAGTTCATCTCTAAACACAACCAGTTCAACTCTAAACACAACCAGTTCATCTCTAAACACAACCAGTTCATCTCTAAACACAACCAGTTCATCTCTAAACACAACCAGTTCAACTCTAAACACAACCAGTTCAACTCTAAACACAACCAGTTCATCTCTAAACACAACCAGTTCATCTGAAATCCAATCTGAATTTTAGATTGGATCTAAAAATCTAAATCTCCCTTCAATTCTTAATTTAGGATTTCACATGTTTTAGAGATAAACTTTGTTAAATATCTGATGTTGTGAGTCCTGCAGGTTTAGTGTTGGTTCTCCTCTGATCTGACTGGTTCTCTGCAGGTTCTCCTGTGATAGTGATGCATTATATAACCTGGTTCTGGTTCTCTGCAGGTTCTCCTGTTCCTGAGGTGAGCTGGTTTCGTGATGGCCAGGTTCTCTCCTCCGCCGTTCTGCCCGGCATTCAGATCTCGTTCAGCGATGGCCGTGCTGTTCTGAGGATCCCTGCTGTGACCGCCGCACACAGTGGGAGGTTCTCCGTCAGAGCGACCAACGGAGCCGGACAGGCCACCAGCACCGCAGAACTACTCGTCACAGGTGAGGCTGGATCCCCTGAGAGGCAGGAAACTACTACAGGGAGAAACTTAAAGATTAAAGATCCATAACAACCTGAGAGAGACAGGAAACAATGACTTATGGCGCGTTTCCACTGCAGCGGGGTAGCCCCGTTTAAGCGTCCCTAAGCGTCCTCGCTCTGGCCTCGGGCTGCCTCGCTGGCCGGCCCAGGCCGTGGCGCATTTTCATTACAGTTTAGGACCTGGGCTAGCAACGCAGTGTAGGCGGGGCGATCGGCTTTGTTTTTGTTCACATTTAGAGTTGTTCCGTCGAGCTCCTGCTGGATTTGATCATCCCCAATGAGATGTAGGAACGTCGTCACCTCCTCGGTCGACCACGGTGTGCTTTTCTTAGAAGTAGCCATTTTTGTAGCTCCTCCGTTTACAAAATGCTGTGTATAAAAATGCTGCAAGCTTGCTTCTAGATATATATGCGACGCTAGGGATGAACTCGCGTGCAATCTTGTGACGATTCTCTCTGACCAATCAGCAGTCGAGAGTGTTGACGTCACTAGTTCAGCCCTGGCCCTGGTCTGAGGGAACCACGATTTTATGAGGCCGGAAAAAGAGGGAAAAAGTACCCGCTGGCCGGTACTAGGCTATATGGAAACGCCACCAAAAACCGGTCTGGCCGCTTGAGGACGGTTAAGGACGCTTAAACGGGGCTACCCGCTGCAGTGGAAACACGCCATTAGAGTCCTGTCCCAGTGTCTGAGTCCTGGCATGGCAGGAAGTGATGCTTGATGGTGCAGTGATTGGAGCCCCAGTTTAATTAATGATATCCCTCCCCCCCCCCAGCGGAGACAGCCCCTCCCAGCTTCCTGCTCCGCCTCCAGAGCTCCACGGTCCTCCAGGGCAGCCAGGTGAGGCTGGACGTCAGAGTCTCAGGTATCCCCCTCCCCCAGGTGAGGTTCTTCAGGGAGGGGGCGGAGATCCAGAGCTCGCCAGACTTCAGGATCCTGACGGAGGGCGAGATGCACAGCCTGCTGATCGCTGAGGCCTTCCCTGAGGATTCTGGGAACTATTCTGCCACCGCCACCAACAGCAGCGGAAGAGCAACCTCCACCTGCGAGCTGCTGGTGCAAGGTGAGGGAGTTGGCCCGGCAACAGGACACAGACATGTAGAGAACTGTAGATCTATAGATATACAGTACCTGGTGTTTTAGTTTGATCTCTGAGCACCCAGGACATCATTAGCCTATTGTAGCATAAGGACATGGAGTTTGGTCCAGTTTGGCTTTAAGGTGTGTGTTTGTGTGTGTTCAGGTGAAGAAGCCGTTCCAGCTAAGAAAACAAAGACAGTGATGTCGTCCCGTCAGACCCGAGTGGAGAAGGTACGGAACGATAAATAACAAAGACGATGATTTTAATTCTTGTTTCTAATAACCCCTCTTCGTCCTCAGAGGGTGGAGGCCAGCTTCCAGTCGTCCATGATGGCGATGCATGTGGAGGGGGGGGAGCTGACTCTGGCTCATAAGACCCCCCCCAGAGTTCCTCCCAAACCACCCTCAAAATCCCCAACACAGTCCTCTCTGGCCGTCAGAGTGGGGGGGGGGGCGGCAACAATCCCCGTCCCCCGTCAGGCACGTGAAGGCGCCAACACCAACACCATCCAGGTGGGGGAACACCTCATAACACCTGAATATGCATGTTGATGTGAATATGTGTACCTTACCGAGCTTTTCGTTGTTCATCTGCAGAATAATTGAAATGTATTTGTGCCGCAGGTTGTGATGCATCCTATTTACTATACAACATTATCTCTGAGTGTAAGAGGAGTAACAGCTGAGGCTCCTTTGGTTTGAGAGTCTGCGTTACTCCGAATGTTACGTGCAACCACTTTAACCTTCAGCCCCATTTAAAGCCTCCTGGATCCTCTGAGGACTTCTGCAACACCAACACTTATTTAATGTGTATTATCCTCTGGAGTCTAATGGCTATCTCTCACATTTTAGATTTCCTTCATTTACTTTTTAAATGTATTTGTCATGACATGGCAACCCATGTGCTGCATACCAAAATGTTCAGCACAGTCTCTGGTCCTGCTAGAAATGCAACTCACTCACCTGAGAGCCCTGTGTGATGAGATGATTAAAGCTGAACATTTGACATCCGATTCTTGGCAATCTTCACAACTCTTGTGAAAACTCAGACTTGTGGGTGTTTTAGATTTGGTTTACTAAAGTCTTAGGTTCACAAGAGTAGTGAATTATTTAAATGACACTGTATATATTTGAGAACATTTTTTGTTTTACGTTTGAGAATCGGTTCCATGTTGTGTAACGGACAGTAAATGGATCTGGATCTGAATCTGATGTGTAACTGAGCTCTCTGTCGCCCCCTTCAGGCCGTCCATGTCTCCCATCAGCAGTCGCTCCCTGGCGGACGCCGGCGGAGACGTTCTGCCGCCCTGGAAGAGAGGCGAGGCCGGGTTCAGCACCATGAGCGCCAGCATGAGCAGTATGACTGCCATGAGCAGCAGTATGACCAGTATGAGCAGTATGAGCAGCAGTATGAGCAGTATGAAGAGCGCCAGTAGCTCCATGCAGGTCAGCGGGGGCCAATCCATGCAGGTCAGCGGGGGCCAATCCATGCAGATCAGCGGGGGCCAATCCATGCAGGTCAGCGGGGGCCAATCCATGCAGGTCAGCGGGGGCCAATCCATGCAGATCAGCGGGGGCCAATCCATGCAGGTCAGCGAGGGCAAATCCATGCAGATCAGCGGGGGCCAATCCATGCAGATCAGCGGCGGCCAATCCATGCAGATCAGCGGGGGTCAAGAGGTGAGCAGGGCGCCATCTGGGGGTCTATCAGGGGGGAGACATGTGGGAAGAATGGAGGAGGACGGGGCAGAGGAATTGAAAATATATCTAAATCGGATCCAACATACATTTAACCTGCTGATGTTCTTTAATTAGAAACCTGATTGGGAAGCCCCTCCTCTCAGAGCCCAAACTTAACGACACATCTGACACACAATAAAAACAGATTAAAAACACATTTAATTCAGGGTAATTTGAGAGGATGCAGCTCTGGTGTTATAATATAAGTCCATAAATCCAGTTAACAATCAGAGAATGCACAACTTGTTCATAACATGTTGTATTCCTCTAAATACTGAGACTCTGAACCATTCAGGACTTTATTAACCCCCCCCCCTGGAAACAGCAGTATCTGGCTGTTCTGCTAACAGCATATCAAATCAACCTGCAGTTCCCCTAACGTCCACCAGAGGCTGAGTCCTGCAGCTAGTGATGGAGACCCTTCACTTCCTTTCACTAAAACATCTGAATTAAAACTCTATTTATAGATGTTTATTTAGAGATGTACAGATGGATAAAGAAAGGAAATAGGAATACTAAATAATGAAGGAAACGACATAAGGAAAAAAGATACTGCTTCATATCTAGCTTATTCAATTAAAAAAGGTATTTGTGGGGGAACTTCCGGCGACGAGGAATGGAGTAGACGCGTGTTTCTCCAGCTCCCACTACTTTTAACATGCAACTCACTTTTAAACCTCTTACCTGTAAACAACGCGGGGATTTTTGTTTTATTTATTTTACGCATAACTATCTACTTTCCGTTGAAACGGCTAAATGGCTTCGAAAACAAGCAAAAAGGAGAAGAGAGACGAGGCAGCTGCTACTGCCGTAGCTAGCATGCCGTTCTTGGTTAAGCTACTGGAGGATCACAGAGACGCCCTTTCCAAGGAATTTAAGTTGGCTATGACTTCTCCGGAAGCGAAATTAGACTTTGTCCAGGAGACAGTCACAGACCACGGTAACCGCCTGACCTCCCTTGAGGCTAACGCGAATCAGCTCAGCGACAAAATGGAAGAGTTGGAGGCTAAGTGCGCAGCAATGGAGGGAAGCTACAACAAGCTAAAGCTATAGACCTTGAGTCACGCAGCCGCCGCAATAACATAAGGATAACTGGCCTACCGGAGTCGATTGAGGGTGCACGTCCCACAGGCTGCTGGTGGAGCTTCTGGGTGACCAAGTCCTCACTACGGCTCCGGAGCTGGACCGAGCACACAGAGCCCTGACTGCCAAGCCAAGTCCCGGGTCAAGACCAAGAGCGGTAATAGCCCGCATCCATCATTTCAGAACGAAAGAGCTGATCGTTCAGGAGGCCCGGAAGCGGCAGGGGAAACTGTTTTTCCTGGGGAAGCCCGTGGCTATCTTTGAAGACTACTGCCCAGAGATCGTGGAGCAACGCGCGGCGTGCCGGTGTTCCGGATTAACTGGTTCCCCGATCAACTGGTTGACAGATGTGGAGGCGTGGCCTTCGACTGAAATACACATTTCGATCAATTCTTCTGTCGTTTACATAAATCTTTTGGTATATTTGGCTCCATAGGAACACTTTGATGCACATTCAGTACCAGTGTGTGAGGTTGTGGTTACGATGGCGATATCCGGACGCGAACAGCGAGGACTACAAAAAGAAAAACGAGTTGACTGGGGATGTCTGTTCAAAACATTGCGAGCTCCAATAAATCATTTAAACCAGCTATTGTTGCCAGACTTATTACTGAATATCGGTCTTAATGTGATACCAAGTCCACCTGAGACCTGTGTACACCTTCAGACAGCCTCCAAGTGAAGCACATGTTCTTTACTCACAGTTTGAAAGCAGCGTGGGGAAGTCTTCAGCTGTGTTAAGCTGTGATCCGCTCGAATAAATCCTTAAAACCAGCTATTGTTGCCCGACTTATCACTGAATATCGTTCCTAATGTGATACCAAGTCCATCTGAGACATGTGTAGGCTACACCTTCAGACAGCCTCCCAGTGAAGCGTACGTTGTTTACTCAGAGTTTGAAAGCAGCGTGGAGAAGTTTTCAGCTGTGTTAAACTGTGATACTCTCAGGTAAACTGTGATTCGCCCATGGGAAAATGGGATCCGCCCAGATTAAACTGGGTTACGACTTCTGTGGCTATCTACCAGCGATCATGTTTAATATGAAAGACACACACATATACATCCCTTATAAAAACGGCATTCTTCAGCACTCATCCAGATAACATGTGACTGTTAACACGTTTTGCAAAGATAGCAGCAGAAATGTCATTGCTGCATGTGCAGGGATATTAGACTTTAAAATGCTGATGGGTCGTTGGTCTCGGCAAACAATATTAGGAATCCTCTATTCAAACCACATAATATTCAGTGTCCATCGACATGAAAATAACAAAAAAGTTCATGCTGGACTCAAACCCGAGTCCCAACAGCAAAAGTCACTCCAGCCCTGCGCTTTATCAATCAATCAATCAATCAATGTTTATTTATATAGCCCAATATCACAAATGTTACATTTGTCTCAGTGGACTTTACAGTTTGTACAAAATATCAGTATGACAATACGACACCCTCTGTCCTTAGACCCTCACATCGTACAAGGAAAAACTTCCGAAGAAAACCCACAGTTTAAAGGGAAAAATGGGAGAAACCTCAGGGAGAGCAACAGAGGAGGGATCCCTCTCCCAGGACGGACAGACGTGCAATAGATGCCGTGTGTAAATTGAAAAAATATATAAGTGCGCCACAGATCAACACACGTATTGAACCACCACACTATAATATTTTAGATTAACCTTGTTAAAAAGTTCCAGAAAAATGCAACCCGACCATCATTTATAATGTGAGCGAATGTACACTTAAATGATTTATTGGAGCTCGCAATGTTTTGAACAGACATCCCCAGTCAACTCGTTTTTATTTTTGTAGTCCTCGCTGTTCGCGTCCGGATATCGCCATCGTAACCACAACCTCACACACTGGTACTGAATGTGCATCAAAGTGTTCCTATGGAGCCAAATATACCAAAAGATTTATGTAAACGACAGAAGAAGCGATCGAAATGTGTATTTCAGTCGAAGGCCACGCCTCCACATCTGTCAACCAGTTGATTGGGGAACCAGTTAATCCGGAACACCGGGAGGTGATGTCCGCACTTTATCAACGCGGCTTGAGACCGTCACTCCTATATCCAGCGAGGTTACGGATCACAACCAAGGACGGGGGCAAAAAGCATTTCGCATCGGTGGAGGACGCTGCATCTTTCCTGGAAACACTGCAGGGTAACACGTCTTGGACTAGAGAGGAGCAGTGATGGCCAACTTTGATAGCAGGTTTGATCTATGTTTTATCAGCGCCGTTGCGCTTCATACATCACTCCATAACAAGCTCATATATCTTATAAAGCTGTGGAGAAGGACTTTTTGCTGTTTTTTTCATACTATACATGTCGAGGTACAGTCTTATGCTTTCCCATCACATTACTGTGACTATTTATTTATTCATTTCTGTTATGAATAAACCCCCAGTCACTGTTACTCTATTCGGAGTGATTTGCATTGAGATATGCCACCTATGCTCCATATAGTTGTGAATCCCTGGCTGTGTGTGTGTCCTGAAAAGAATGTCGCGTTCTGACCCTCCAAATGCTGACTTACTCATTATTACTATTTCTTATTTATTAATATAGCTGTTTACCATTGTTTATTTGTATCACTTATTTCATTATTGTTATTATCTAGTTACCTTTGTGTGTGTGTGTGTGTGTGTGTGTGTGTGTGTGAAAACCCTCACGAGAAACACCGGCTGTTGTTATGCCTGCTGTGATGTCAAGTTTCTCCGCTCTCCGCTTGTCATTATGCCGAAGCTTCAAAGTTGTATTTATCGTCTGAATTTGCCGAAACAAGTTTAATATTCTGAAAGCCAAGACTTTGTTTATTTAACATTTTAAAAAAACATCCGAAATAAAAATTATTTTTTAAAAATGTGTATTGGCTCATGATAGGCCCCCGATCTCCGTAGGCCCCTGGGCTTCAGCCCAGGTCAGCCCGTGCATTAAGGCGCCCCTGGGCAAGGGGCGTAGTCTTTGAACCACTTGATATTACGGCTGACAAGAACGGTAGATTTGTAATCGTCACTGGGAAACTATTTAACATGAACGTTGTCCTGGCTAACGTATATGCCCCAAATATAGATGACGCTGCCTTCTTTGTCCGCCTTTTCTCTAATCTTGCCGACCTGGGCCAGCACCACTTGATACTTGGAGGAGACTTGAACTGCTGGCTGGACTAGGCGCTGGATCGCTCCTCCACCAAGCCAGGTGCAGTGAGTAAATCAGCACTGCAAATTCAATCCTTTCTCTCAGAGTGTGGTATCTCAGATGTATGGAGGTTCCTCCACCCAAAAGAGAAACAGTATTCATTTTTCTCCCATGTTCATCATACATATTCTCGAATAGATTATCTTCTCATTGATAATAGACTACTTTCCCAAGTCCGCTCTTGTTCTTACCAGAGTGTTGTTATATCTGACCATGCGCCTGTTGTGATGTCACTGGCACTCCCAGGTGTCCCGATGCCCTCAAGGCACTGGCGTTTTAACTCGTCTTTACTGTCTGATGATGAGTTTGTAAAATACTTGGGGGATCACATCACCTTCTTTCTAGAAACAAATACCACATCCGATACCTCTGCTCTCATGGTCTGGGATGCACTTAAAGCTTACCTAAGAGGACAAATCATTTCATTCACCGTTAACAAAAGGCGAAAGTCCCAAAGGGAACGTTCAGACCTGTTATCCAAACTTCCTGGAACTGATGCACAATACGCTCTGACCCCGACCCCTGAGCTATATAACACTAGACTGGAACTCAAAACTAAATTTGAGATACTTACTACTCACCAGACTCAAAACATTCTGCTAAAAAACAAAAGTACATTTTATGGCGAGAAGGCAGGAAAACTGTTAGCTAACCAGCTAAA